GGCGCCCTTCCCCCTTCTGTCAGCTGGTTCTGTTGTACTCACAGCACACCCTTCCGGTGAAAGAAAGACCCATCTATAGGCAACCTAGCAATACTAGTTAAACGTAGCTGAACAGAAGGAACTCTTTCCTCAGCCTCCACCCATGCCCTCTTTGAGTTCTGAAAACAAAGATCGCAATATTGATACACACTGGGCTGGATTTCCTACAAAAATAGAGAAGGCTTCTCCCCTACCAGAGCCTACACAACTCTTCTTCTGACCCCCGTCTCTTGGTACCATCTCTTCCGACCCCCTCCTGACAGCTGGAGAATTGTATCAAGTAATTCAATTTTTAAAACTGCTATGCATGTGAAGACACAGGCTTTCCTCCAACTTTCTGCCCTCCCCTCTTCTCTAGTAATCACACCTATCTTGCTTCTATGCCAGAAACTCTGGAACTTTATCCTGGACCTGCTTCTATCCTCAGCTTCAATCAATGATTTCCAGCTACTTCTCATGCCAGAAGCTTTTAAAGACCTCACCCCTGGTAGTCTGATTCAGTAGATCTCAGTCAGAAAACCGTAAAATCTTTTGACCATAAATTAGAGTTGTATTTGTAAAAGACCAAATATTATCACCAAGTGTGTTATTAAAACAAATATTTCAATGACAAAAGAGATTGGAAGCTAAAAAGTTTTAGTCATACAGAAAAATAATTTTTCCTGCACCAATTTTAAAAAATGATAAAAGCATGGCTATAAAATAGATACAAAATCAAACACATCCATATATGACTTCATATGAGTTCACCTATGATTGCCCTTTCTCAACACCAGAACTATTATTAGCACTGGGATTCTTATTCACAACTTACCACTTTAAAAAACTATTGACATAGGAGGCACAAAGCCACACAAAGCAGCTGTTGCCCAAGAAAACATGGTTTATTTTAATGCAGGCTGCTGGGCTTCCAATCCCTGTTTTCCTGCTACGGTCTGTTCATGATAGCATTATAATCAATGACAGTTTGTAGCAGCATGAGAAAATCAAAATGTCCTCCCTGCTTAATCAATTATGATATATCAAACTGTAATCTAAAAATTCCAACTCTAACAGAAATCTCTGCATTAAACAAACACACAAACTGACCTCACCAGATGATTCCGATCATAGCCTTGAAAACCAATGGGCTAGATTATTTTATATGTATGCACCTCAATCACCACCACTTCTACCTGCATACTTATTTCAGACTTGATATCTTGTCTACCACATTGATTTCAACTTTGGGCTTCCCACTGTTTATTAATGGTTCCACTATTTTTCTAGTTACTCTGGCTAGATACATAAAAGAGCCATATGACATCTTCCTTGCATCATGTATCTAACCAATGACTAGGACCTGACAATATTCTCTCCAAGTTATTTAACTCCTGTTTTACCCTTGTTAAAGCGTTTAAAAAAAACCCTACAGGCTCCAAATGGCATCAGCTATTTAGCTATGCTAAAACCCACAATACCAAACCTTCACTAGAAATGTAATTTCAGTCTACCAGTCTGGAATTTTCTGGCCTGTACCAGAAAGGTAACCTGTCATGTAAGCCCTCTCCACAACCCCCAACGCCACCACCCCGGAAAAAGAATTGATCTTCATGATAAAACCCTTGCTGTTTCCTTCCCCCTAAAAAAATGTCCTGGTCTAAAAATAATCATTTTTTTCTTTTGCTAAAAATATCTATAAAAAAATAAAACAAACAAACTCTTAGATACAGAGAACAGACTGATGGAATGAGGGTTAGGAGGCAGAATGAAAAAGGTGAAGAGATTAATAAGTAGAAATTGACAGTTACAAAATAGTCTTAGGGGTGTAAATACAGCTAGGGAATAGAGTCAATAATATTGTAACAACTTTGGTGTTGAGTGGGCGCAAGACTTATCAGGGGGATCACTCTGTAAATTATGTAAGTATCTAACCACTACTCTGTACACCTGAAATGAACATAATATTCAATTCTAACTGTTATGAAAAATCTTCAAAAATTAAAACAAACAAGAAAAAGTTTCCATTGTGTTCAGTCCCTCAGACTGCCCTTCTAGATGCTAGATGGGATACTGCCTAAGTCATGAATCACTTCAGAAAGCCAATTTAATCTTTAAATTTACTCAGTTGAATTTTGTGCATTAGCACCCTCAATCTATTTTCTTTTTTTAAAAAAAGATTTTATTTATTTATTTTCAGAGAGAGAGGGGAGGGAAGGGAGGAAGACAGATAGAAACATCAATGTGTGGTTGCCTCTCGCACACCCCTTACTGGAGGCCTAGGCGCAACCCAGGCATGTGCCCTGATTGGGAATTGAACTGGCAGCCCTTTGGTTCACAGGCGGGCACTCAATTGACTGAGCCACACCAACTGGGGCTAGAGTATGGAGGCTCTTTACATTAACAGTTTATTGGGTTAGACTTTATAACTTCTGCATCACAGCAGAAAGCTCATTTAAGTTTTTAAATATTCTCCAGAGGCAACCAAAGTATATTATTTATAGAATGAAAAATGTATTGATAGTTAAACATATGTGACATACTTTGTCTTCTTTTTCTTAATTAATCTTTTGTTATCATCTGTCAAGAACAAAGTTTCCAATAAAGCGTATTGTTTTTCATCAGTACATGAGAACTCAGAATCTAAGCAAAATTTCTACCTTGTAATTTTGAAATAAGCTAAAATCTAAGGTTCTTGTAAATTGGAAATATAAGGCAATGAAAAGTAGTTTACTCCAACACCATTGTACACACACACACAAAGATACACATATGCACACACCAATTAGAGTAAAGATTAAGTTGTTTCTAAATATGTGTTCCAGTACTAGCCTACTGCTCTGGGAGATATTTGTGAAAAATTTTTAAGTGAATTAATAAATAAGTAAAATGGGATTAAGAGAGATGTGATACAACTTTCTTTTCTCCTTATTTTCCCTAGGATATTAGGCCATAGTCTTTCTAAACTGTTTTAATAAAATTATTTAGTAGGTAGCTCCTTGCAGAAAGAACTAATTTATTGTTTGTTTGTTTTATATATACTTGTATTCACAAAGCTTGTTCGTTGTTAGGAATTCTTTAATACTGAGGGAATATTTAAGACAACATTTCTAATATGTACCATTTTATTAGATTTTTAAAATGTAGTTTTGTCTTAATTTAAGCATCCAAAAGTATTATGATATCAATTCTATTTTGATTAGTAACAAATTCCCTCACTAACTATACAGGTGTTTGGTTTAGATTAGGATATTTGAAATTAGTTATCTAATCTTTTATTCTGTGTTTGACAAAACAGGGAGCACTTGTAATTTTACTTTACTGATGATTCTGATTTGGCAGGTCTGTAATGAGGACCAGGAATTTATATTTTTACAAGCACTACCAGGTGGTTCTCATTATAAGTCAAGTTTGGAAAACCAGAAGTAAAGGCAGAGTTTCACAGAGTCCCTAGTGTCTCAGTCATTTTTTCACGGTGACTGAGGCCAAAAGAAATACATTCAAGCAGTATAGATAGATGCAGACTCCTTAATAGCTGTAATTTTAAAAGGGTCCAACAGATGGCACTGTGCTCCCCTCAAAAAGTTAAACTATCACGGAATCCCTGAGTTCCCTGAGCTCCTCAGCAGTTGAACTACAGCCTATAGGGAACATTTTCCTGGCATGGCATCTAAATGAAATATCTGAATGGGCCTTTTACAGAAAAATTGTGCAACAAACTAGACAGTATATTTCATAAATTTCATCACTTTTTATATCATTTATTGCAGTTTCATATGATCGTTATTGCTTATAGGGCAGGAGTATGAGTATCAATTTCCTATGAAGAGCTAAAGAGCAAATATTTTTAGGTTTTGTGGGCCACAGATGGTCTCTAATGCATATTCTTATCTTTTCTGTTGCAGCCCTTTAAACATGTAAAAGCCATTCTTGTCTCTTGAATTTGGCCCACGGGCTGTAATTTGCCACCCCCAGTTCTAGTTATAAGGTTGGTTCTGACATTAAAGTGCAGCTCAGTGAATGTGATTCTGCAAGGCTGAAAGCTCTCAGCATTTTCCTATCTCATCCTTTTGCTTTAGGGAAGTCTCTGCAAAAATGCACCCCTGCAACTAACATGGGAAGGACCTACTTCATTTCAAAATTATTGTAAACAGAAAGCTGTCATTGAATCATGTTCTCCAGTTTAATAATTAATCCTGTTAAATTCCCAAGAAAAGGAGACTAGTCATTGCAATAAGCCCTTTATCATTTGCTTGCTGATTATTGTAAATGGATAACGAGATTCTACAATTAAGGCAAACTTTAACTTATACTGCATTTGCTCACCATTCTATACCCAAGCACATAGAATTGCTCCTACTGCCTATTAGGTTCAATAAATATTTGCACGTTTATGGGTCAAGTATATAATTGCATTTAATCAGAATTATCCAATGGAAGGTATTACGCATTTAATGACTAGTAGACTTACAAAATTAAGTTTGAGGACCACCACTAATTTTCCTTGGAACATTAGAAGCAACCATTTAATCTTTCAGTGTATTTCCTCATCTATAAAATCGGGAAATTTCTACCCGTCGCCACCTCACAGAAATGTCACTAGGATCATATTAAAGAGAGTATTTATTTGCTTTGCAAAAGGAAGGTGCGTTTCTGACACCAACCGAGAGGCACGTCCACGTCACCCGTTATATAAGAGGACCGCCCATCGGGTGTCCTCTAAAATCCCTGACCAGCGTCACCGGCCACCGCCCCGAGGAAGCCGTATAGTACCCCAAAGATAGAAGGTTCAGGGTGGAACACTGGGAGCCCGCCCCCAGCTAGCCGTGGGCTGTAGAAAGCAACGGCTCCCAGGGCTGAAACCGGAAGCCCCACCCCAGCCGGCCCGCCACCCTGCACCTCCAGGCGGGATCGAACGTGACCTTGTTTTGTGGTTGCTAGGAGACCTGGCTCCCGTACGCCCCGCACTGGCCCACTCCAGGAAGAAAGCTGAAAGGGGGCGGGGCCGCGGCAGGTTCGGGAAGCGGTCGGCACAGCACCGTTAGGACGGCCTGGCTCGGGGCGCCCTCCCGGCGCCTCTGCAAGCGCCGTCCGGGCCCCTGCCACGGCCCAGGCCTCGCTGGTGCCCTCCGGAGCGGCTGTGAGCGATGTGGGGTCAGGACGAGACATGGACGGTTAGTCAGGTGAGCGGCCGCAGGGCAGGCAGCTGGTGTGGCCACGCCCTGCCCCGGGAGACTTGCTGGCCGGGTGTCGAGGGGCGAGGTAAAGGCATCTTTTTGCGCGGAGGTTGCGGCTGCTCCGGCGGTGCCGCGGGTCAGGTCATTCACGTCTGGACGCCCGCAGGGCCGCTGGGAGCTCCCTCCCGCCAGTGGGCAAAGGGTTAACGCGCCGGCAATGACCGCGGGCCCCGGATGTGAGAGCCGCGGCTTGGCGTCTGTGGCCCGCGTTGCAGGTGCGCCCAGACAGGCGGAGCAAGCGGACTGGCCACCTGACCCACGGACCGAGGCTCCCCTGCCCTGCAGGGGCCGCTCGGCTACCTCCGCGGGCGCCTTGTTTTCTAACTTGAGGGCAACAGGTGGTGTCTGCGGACCTTAGGAGAGCTGGCTTCGCCGCGCAGGGAGCGGCAGTTACTCTCACCGTTTAGGGCGCGGGGGCGGGCCTAGCACGGATGACCAATGGGATTTGGGCTTATGGGTGGGCCGTGAGGAGTGGGCGTGGTCGGAGCCTGAAACCCGGGGTATAGTGCTCCGAGCGCCAGAGCTGCTTGGATAGCTAAGCTGAAAGGACTTGCCGGGCTTTCCCCTTTCAGACAGCGTGGAAACGCCTACCAATGCTTTCTCATTTGGAGACTCCAGTTCGGGAGGTGAGCCTTGTGGTTTTTTGGGGGACGGGGGCAAGGTAGGAGGTTACTAGTGACCTTGGGCATGCTGTTATGTATGTGGAATTAGAGCCTCAAGATAGGATGATGGGTTGAGTTTTCTGCCAATAAAAGGCACTTGTGTGATTACTGAGACCTGGAGTGGGGTCTTTGAGGTTTGGGGACTCAGAAGGGTAGAGAAAAGTGCGCGTTACTGCAAATTGACTGAATGTTAAAGAATTTCAATCACAATGATTGTTCTCTTGTTTGCCGCGGATTGCTTACGTTTCATATCTCATTTGGTTTGTTTACTGAAGCAAGTTTTATTTATCAAGTTCCTCGTGTTGTTTATTTTAGCACCAAGAGAGAAAAATGTACATTCTTTCACAAGAATAACTTATTCATTTTCCCCCTTAGCAGTCTTGTAGCCGGATCCCCTAGGAGGAGAAGTTGTAAAGCAGTAAGAAGAAAGCATTTCAATTTGGAACGCGTTTTTGCAACTGGAAATGGGGAATGGACTGTCAGACCAGACTTCTATCCTGTCCAGCCTGCCTTCGTTTCAGTCCTATCACATTGTTATTCTGGGTTTGGACTGTGCTGGAAAGACAACTGTATTGTACAGACTGCAGTTCAATGAATTTGTAAATACCGTACCTACCAAAGGATTTAACACCGAAAAAATTAAGGTTACCTTGGGAAATTCTAAAACAGTCACTTTTCACTTCTGGGATGTAGGTGGTCAGGAGAAATTAAGACCACTGTGGAAGTCATATACCAGATGCACAGATGGCATTGTATTTGTTGTGGACTCTGTTGATGTTGAAAGGATGGAAGAAGCGAAAACTGAACTTCATAAAATAACTAGGATTTCAGAAAATCAAGGAGTCCCTGTGCTTATAGTTGCTAACAAACAAGACCTAAGGAACTCATTGTCTCTCTCAGAAATTGAGAAATTGTTAGCAATGGGTGAACTGAGCTCATCAACTCCCTGGCATTTGCAGCCCACCTGTGCAATCATAGGAGATGGACTAAAGGAAGGACTTGAGAAACTACATGATATGATAATTAAAAGAAGAAAAATGTTGCGGCAACAGAAAAAGAAGAGATGAATGGTGAAACCTTTCATACCTGTGTGGAGTAGGTTTTCTGTGGTCTGATTTTGACGAATGGAAGAGTGTCTACAGCCTGGTTTGCCTGCCTGCCCTCCTGGATGCTGTTAAAGCTTGTTTTTCTGAACAGTCAGATGCCCAACTCTGTTGCCTTGTGAAGATGAGTAAATGCAGTGCTTCTTAAAATGGTCTCTTCTCCCTGCCCCACAAATCTTTTGGTACTACCATTTTGGGAAGCCAAGCAAAGATAGTAAATTGACCAGAAAACAGTTGTGGAAATTTGACCTGAAGTTAGTGAAATAAAACTTTGAAGAAGAATATCTGTCTAGTATTTTGTGCTTATGTCTTCTTGGGGGATGCCTTCACAAGGAAATTGCTTACAAGGCTTTGTATGTATGTTAAGATAAAATGCTAATGAATGGAAATGTTAAGGAAGATTAATATATATACAGTTATATTGATCACATTGGTCCACTCAGTAAGGGACAAGGAGAAAGTGTTCGGTTTTTTTAGGTTTTGGCCAAATGAATTTTGACATTTTTTGCAATTAAATAATGTACTGCTATATCTTAATTCTAGACAATGTTTAAGTTGGTCTCCCTTAAAATAATAAAGTATTTGGGGCATATTCAAGTGCATGGATTAGTTTTCCTGATAAAGCATGTTTTGGTGTGTAGTCTACTTTTTAGAAATAGCTATACATCTTTCTACACAGGTTCAATATACCTTTTCGGGGCGGGGGGTGAATTTAGAAATAGTTTGTTATCAGAAGCACTTTCACTTGGAGAACCTAAAATAATTTACTTAACTCTTTCATATAGTAAATTTGGGCATGTAGACTAATCATAAATGCATATGTTTGGATGTGTGTCAACTTAGGAAGAAAGCAATTGATGAACTCAGACAAGAGGATGTAATTACAATACATGGTCTCTAAAGTATTCCAGTTGTAAAATGTTTTATTAATATTTGCTGGCTAAACACAGATGTGGTTTTTCATATATTTTTGTAGTGTTTCGAGAGAAACAAAGCGAAAGCTTTATAAACAGCACCCAATGCACTGTGGAGTGAAAATGTAAGATATATCTTATATTGTGCTCTGAGCTTTAATTTTTTGTTTACAAACTGAACAGTGTTACACAGGCAGTCCAGTCCTGATTATAAGGTAGGAAGAAATGATACAGTACTGCAGAACAGAATTAGGATTATCGAAAATGAAGGGGAAAGTAGCAAAGCTATGTTTTGTGAAAAGTCACTGGTGCTGTTTACATTGGAATCCAAAACGCTATAAATTAAAAGATGGAAAAACCTTTATCTAACTCTTATCTACAGGCAAAGACCTAACTTCCAGTGATCATATATGAATAAATCAACATAATTCCTACGTGTAAAGCCAACAGTTATTTGTAATGAAGATAACCAAAAGAAATTCACTTTGTTAGCAAGGCGTTTTTTGTTTGTTTGTTTGTTTGTTTGTTTTGTTTTATTTCTGGCACAGCTTTGGAGCCTTGATTCTTGTTACACACAAAATAAAGTAGCTTCCTGTGGAGCTTTCATATGTTAAATGTACCTGCACTAGTGACAGTCACTTAGAATGTTTATATTTATAGAAATGTGGATAATAACTACCAATAAACTACTTAAGGCACTAGGAGAACAGTGTTCGAGTTTTAATGTACTTCCACTTTCACTGAAGCTTAGGGGTGTGAAAACTGGCAGCTGGGTTACATAGTCCTACAGGAGTTTGGTTCGGCTCCAGTGAGACAGGCACTGAAAGCCATTTTCTGGGAGGACCCTTGTTTTGCCCTTCACTGGTATGAAATCATAGTGTGTACTACAAACATCACTAAATCCATAATTGATCCATAAAGCTTACTGGGGGAAAATGAATAAATTTATATTTTCAGCCTTCCTGTACTTTTTATATACTTGCTGTATAACATAGAACAGTTTTAACTGTCTCTTAAAAGTTTACACTTATTTTTTTGTGTTGAGACTTATTTTGTAGCCTAAGAATTAAATAAGTCCATGTTATCTAAGTTTTTTATATTTAGCAAATAATAAAGAGAAAATGATGTTAACATCATACCAGCTTTTATTTACAAGTATTTTCAATTATAAAACTCATTGTAAACTGTTCCAGGTTCCTAAATTCAAGTTCCTCACCATTTATTCCATTTGTTAATACCATTAGGATAGTAGAATAATGAGTCTCAAAATAAACCCTGAAGAGTTTAGACAATGTTTTTAAATCTACTTTTTTGTTAAGGTACACCTTTTCTAAAGTGTATTTCTAACATTTTCTTATATTTGCAGTTATTCATTTCAATACCAAATACTAAGGACTGGACAAATAAAATTTCAAATTACTATGAAAAGCAACGTTAAAAAAAAACCCCAAAAATCTTTTGATACTTAAGAGATTTAATATTTAAATGTCCAAAGATGTTCTAAAATGGATTGTAAACATTTAGGAAAAAAGGTATACTTTAATCATAAAAAATAAGGCATTGGAAGCTAAAGTGAAGTTGTTAGTATAAATATATGTATATAGAGAATCACTAGTCTGTGGGAGAATGATGGTTATGAACTAAGGGAATGGCATAAACTTAGAATGTTCCTTGTTTGTACAAGGCATTTGACACTTAAAAGAGTGTTTCATCAATTATACATGTTGACCTGGAAGGAGATCTTTGGTAGGATGTTTCAAGGTTCTATTTAATACACCTTCATCAGTAACACAAACACAATGGTTTCATCATACACAAAAATGTCTCTACCTTTTTCATGGTATAGCACTTAACAGCTACTACAACATGGACTTTCAAAGTTTAAATTTAGCAGAACATTCTATAAATGAATAGTGATGATGCTTGTGCAACATTGTGAATGTACTTAATGCCACTGAATTATACATCTAAAAATAGGTAAAATGGTAAATTTTGTGTATATCTTACCACACACAGACACACACACACAAAACGAAGCAGAATATTGAATGTACACTTAGTTTCAAAAACAGCTAAGAGTAGAGTTAAGGACAAGCTGATTTAAAGACTGGATTTAATTACAAATTGAAGACTGGGATGTTGAACTAAATTAAAGCTTAGAAGAGCTGATACAGCATGCTAATCTAATAAAATTAATATTAAAATGTATGACAATCAGTCTCAACTAATCACAGCTGAAGTATATATCCAATTGCGTGTATGCGAGTTAGAAATGTACCTACATGGGAGGCTCTGGTAGGGAAATATTAGGTGAACTAGCTTAAAACAGCAGAAGCTTTAGAGTCATATTAGGGTTCATATCCTGGCTCCCCAGATACTACACACATGACCTTTCGGCAAGTTCCTTGAAATTTCTCATGGTGTGAATGCCTTCTTGGTAAAATAAGACACAGAATTTTGAGAAGTGAAATAATGTAAACTGTTTAGCACATCACCAAACATCTGTTAACTCAATAGAGGGTAGATATTATTGAATCAATGTATGTTTAGAGGCAGTGTGATATAATTGATGGTGGCCATACAAATCCAGGTTTGAATCCTGGATCCACCACTTACTAGTTTTGTCTTGGCTAGTTTGTTTTAACTATTATCAGCCTTAATTTCTTCATTGGTAAACTGAGGCATACACCTACCATTTTGGTTGAAAGGATTAAGTGAAACAATATATGATATGCAGCAGAGTCCCTGACATATAGAAAACAATTTAATTGATAGTTGTTAATAATAGCAAAAATATTTTCTGATGTATTTAAAAAAAGAAACTACTTTGGGGGGGGACTATTACAGGAAAAACTCTTGGTAAAAAAAAAAAGTTTTTTCCCAATTATGGTTAATATTCATTATTATGTTAGTATCAGGTATATACTGCAGTGATTAGACATATAAGTAAGTGATCATCCCAGTAAACCTAGAACCCATCTGATACCATACATTGCTATTAGAATATTATTAACTATGTTACTTATGCTATGCTCTACATCCTCATGACTATTCTGTAACAACCAATTTCTACTTTCTAATCCCTTCACCTTTTTAACTCATTCCCCTATCCGCCTCCCATCTGGCAACTGTCAAAATGTTCTCCGTATATGTCTATTTCTATTCCGCTTTTTTATTTTTTTAGATTCGATAGTTATGTATTTATTGCCATTTTATTGTTTATATTTTTGATCTTTTTTCTTCTTAAAGGAGACCCTTTAACATTTCACATAATAGCCCTGGCTGGTGTGGCTCAGTGGATTGAGTGCTGGCTTGTGAACCAAAGGGTTGCTGGTTCAATTCCCAGTCAGGGCACATGCCGGGGTTGCCAGCCAGGTCTCCAGTAGAGGGTGTGCGAGAGGCAACCACACATTGATATTTCTTTCTCTCTCTTTCTCCCTCCCTCCCTCTCTAAAAATAAATAAATACAATCCTTAAAAAAACAACAAAATTTCATATAATACTAGTTTAGTGGTGATGGGCTCCTTTAGCTTTTTCTTGTTTGGGAAGCTCTTTAGCTGTCCTTTGATTCTAAATGATAGCTTTACTGGATAAAATAATCTTGGTGGTAGGTTCTCGCTTTTATCACTTTGACTATTCCTTGACAATCCCTTCCAGCCTGCAAAATTTCTGTTAAGAAATCAGCTGACAGTCTTACGGAAACTCCCTTATAGGTAACTAATTGCTTTTCTCTTGCTGCTTTTATGATTCTCTCTCCATTCTTAACCTTTTGTATTTTAATTGTTATATGTTGTGGTTTGGGCCTTTTTGGGCTTATCTTGTTTTGAGATTCTCTGTACATCCTGAACTTGTATGTCTATTCACCAGGTTAAGAAAGTTTCCAGTCATTATTTTTTCAGATAGCTTTTCCATTCCTTGCTCTCTCCTCTCTCTGGCACGCCCATGATGCAAATGTTGGTATGCTTGAGGTTTTCCCAGAGGCTCTTATACTATCCTTATTTTTTTCAATTCTTTTTTCCTTTTTGCTGCTTTGATTGCGTGTTTTTTGCTTCTTTATATTCCAAGTCACTAATTTGATTCTTGGCTTCATCTAGTCTACTATTGATTCTCTGTAAATTATTCTTCATTTCAGTTAGTGTATCCTTCATTTCTGGCTGGTCCTTCTTTATGCTGTTGAAGTTCCAAGTTCACTGAGCATCCTTACAACCAGTGTTTTGAACTCTACATTTAGTAGATTGCTTGTCTCCATTTTGTTTAGTTCTTTTTTCTCGAGTTTTGTTCTTTTCTTTCATTTGGGACATGTTTGTCTTCTTATTTTGGCAGCCTCCCTGTGTTTGTTTCTATGTATTAGTACTATGTACTAATACA